GTTACCCTTCCACATAGCAAGATGTGTGAGTAGTGAAGAGCGACGAGATACCTAAGCTGGTTTGAGGGGTGTGTTTTGTCGAAGATCTTTAGGTTGCCTTCTTAGGGTGATCCCCCCCCCCCCCCCCCCCCCCCCTCCACTCCGATTCTTGCATTGAACCTTACTGTTATTATTTTGGTTCACCGGTTTGGTTCTGCCTGGCTTTCGCTCACGGTCTCTTAGTGAAGCAAAAAAGGTCCACGAGACAGTTGCTTCGCAGTAGAGGCTCGAAACAGGTCCAATGTTTGTGTGCGACGTTGCTACAATCACATGAACCGCCGCTCACGCCGTTTGGTTAGCATCGCACCTTGAGGGTTGCACCATGACTTGTTGGGTTGGTGTACACGCTGATGTTCCTGCTCATGCGACAGCAGTAGTGTCGAGCTTAGGAATATTTTACGAAGAGCGTTCGGTACTCGGCGTACAACTGTAGTAGTAGTCTCCAAAGCCGATACACGAGTTTTTTGTCCATGTACGCCCGAGTGAGGTGCAACCTCAGTTTCTCTCACAACGCAACTGCCTTCACGACGTTTGGTCACTTTTCATGGTAACTGGTGAGAATCCTCCGAACGGCCGGAGGAGGATAAACACGGGCCACAGCTCGACACTGGCCTCACGGGCTTCGCAGCTTCGCAATAGGCATCTAATTCGCCACAGCTTGGCACTTCCCTCATGGGCCTCGCAGGACAAGTCTAAACCGCCTTTACATTTGCGTGCCTTCGGCTGTTCGCTCGTTGTGTCACGTCTCTGGGCGTGTTGCGCTTCGTCCGTCCGTCTGCCCGCCGGACGACCCCCGCGACAGTTTCTTTGAGCTTGATGGTGAAAATGGGCACCACGGACGTGTCTCTGTACACGGCGGGGAAGGGCAAGCTGGCGATGTTCGCCTTCGGAGGGGTTGGCAACTACGCGTTGACGTACATCCTCTTCTGGACGCTGGCGTACACGTTAGTCTACATCTACTAGCGCGGGTGCTCGTGCGACGGCGGCACATCTTTGTGTTGTCCAGAGGGTGGCGGTGTGGGGCAAAAGTGTCGGGGTGTAAGAATACGAGGATGGGTGTATGTGTTGATAACGCAAGCAAACCAGTTGGTCCGAGTGCATTGTTTGTGGAGCGCTTTCATCTGTGTGAGATGAGGATGCTTCCCCGTTTTGTTTTGTGCTACAAAGTATGCCAGCTAGGGCCGCTATAAAGTACGAAAGTCGGCAGGCTTCGTGCTGCGGTCCGTCGTTCGTCGCGTAATTTCATTTTGGCCAGCGTGACACGGATTGGACTAGACAGGCCGCAGAGATTTTGAGATTCGGCTACGTGGAAGCTCGTATCCAATGGACTGGTTGAGCGAGGCCATTCACCGCCACCATGCCCATGCCCGCTCTTGCCCCCAGGAGAGAACAATACAATTATTCCCATGTGCCTTATCGTCACAGCCACCAAGTATTTTACCGGGCGCTTGTCATTCCCTGAGAACGAGCGTCAATATCTAGACTACCTGACGTGGCGTAACACCTAAGCCAAGTGTTAGCTGATACACCATGCTTGAGTCGAGGCTATGCTGATGAATGTTTTTCAGCTGCGGATTTTCCTCTCAGTCATCGGGTCGTTCTTGGCGGTGCCGCAAGGCGGTGTCCACGCTTTTTGTTGTTCTCCTTGCTCAAGATTCGCTCCTGCCTCAGCTCGTCCTCCACCTTTGGTCCAAACACAACGCAAGGCCAGCGGCGCGTGGCGGCGACGACAATAGAGCGGTTAGCACCCAACCAGGAGGATATGGGAGAGTCGCACAAATGGCGAGAAGTGATGACTACTACGCAATCGGAAACGGGTCACGCGCGACACCCTCTATACTTGTGCTGTTCTGTCTCTGTAACGTTTCCTATATCGTGCCTGTTGTCGCTCCGATGGCCATGCTTCTCTTCCAGCTTTAGAGGGGCGAAGAGATAGTGATTGCTGTATAATCGCGAGTGTGAAAGTGGGATGAACAACATGCACGTGGGAAAGCTTAACGAGGCTCTTCGTCGAGGGAGGCAAGACTACTGAGCACCAAATATAGACAGGGTCAAATTGCAAGAAGTCAAACAGTGAAGGTAAGAATGTAGCCATCTCATCGAATAACAGCCTACTCGGATATTCGCGGGCTGCTTTTCCAATGCTATCCTTCCTCTCCTACACTTTCTTTGAACACTTATTCCTTTTTCTTCTCTAGGTCTCCACCTTCTTCAGACGATGTTCCAACTGTGCTCGTTCCGCCTCCAGCACGGCTAGCGTAGCCTCTGCTCTCGCCGTGCTCATGGCCATGGTTGTCGTCGTACGAACGGTTTCCCTTTCAAAAACAGAAAGTAACAAACAGGAACGATGAGACACTCGTCGTCGGTCCAACGTATACTTTTCCTCTCGAGTGTGATGACGACATAGTTTCGGGTGCAACAGATCGGCTTCCCCCATATCACCATGCACTGCTCGTAGGCGTTCGTTTTGGTCGCGTGACAGTTCGCCACAACTTGGCCTGCGGCACGTGATCCACGTCGGTTGGCGTGATAGCAAAAGGTAGGTGAAGCCTTGAGCTTTTTTCGAGAGTTCACCAACCATACACAGATTTCTTGTGGTACTGTACCACGGCGGACTGTGCTCGCGACAGTAAGCACGTCTGCAGCAGAATGCAAATCTCTCCTTGGAAATTTTGTGGGAACATCTGGGAGGTAAACCACGTTATTCCTTATGCAAACAATACGCAATATTTGGCTGAAATCGCCAGGATGTGCTACAGGAAACTCTGCCCTGGGAGCACATGGGACGAAAAGGTTCATTCGTATTGACAAAACCTCCATAAGATAAAGCGTGCTCGTCGACATACCAACCGTATGTAGATGATGGCTTGATGCCAATATCTTGGCGTCGCGAGGAGACTAATCTATTGTGTTTTATCTTGCCCGTGGGCTTATCAATAAATAGAACCCTTCTCATAGATCACCTTGGAGTGTCTGTGGCGTAGTCGGTAAGGCTGATCGCTGCGCTACTTGTGAGCGATCTTGACGTTGTTCTGCCCGAAGGAACCCCGCTTCCACAGTACGCCGAAGGCAGCCCCCGCCCACCCTTCGAAGAACTAAAAGAAGCAGCGGTGCCTGCAGATCGTGCGCTCGCCGTTGGTTCTTCATGTCTCGCTGTCCTATTCGTACCATCACCACCACCACCACTTCTGTGCGAAGCTGGGGCGGCTATCGTTGCGGGGATTTCTTCGCCTTCCTTCGGTCGTCTGTTAGACCGCTCGAGGGAGCGGCGAGGGGTTCCTTTGCATTGCTGATGATGCCGACACCGCGATGACAATCGAGACTGCTCCTTAGCTCTGAGTGGTGGGCGGGAGATGCGCAACAGACAAGGATATAGAAAATGCCAGCACACGTTTCGGGTACGGCTTGTTGTCTTAGCAATTACATGAAGTCTGTAGACATTTTTCATGTGTCACTGTGGCGGTGTGGCGCTTTTGCATAGCCACTCGCAGTTCGAAATGAAAGAGTAGAGTACCGCCGCGCTTATCCACTGAGTTTTTTATTTCGCTCGAATACCCCACGGCACAGCCGAGTAAACTCACGTGGTGTGTTCGTCGTTAGCTGGCATGTATGTTCGACCGAGAGCAGCCGGGCTGCACCAACGCTTGCTGCGTGCTGGTGTTTCCTGACGGTCGATCGTCTAGAAATGAAGCCCAAATATCGCTGGCACCGTCTGACTCTCGACACTCGACTTATTCCACTCTGGAAGCACCGGCGATTGTTTCGGTATGTAGTATGTAGCACACCGGCGCCGTCCTGCTGCTCTCGGCGCTATGCTCTTCCCAGCGTCCGCGTGCCCCTCTCTCAAATATCGACTGGGGGGATATATTTGTGGATGCGTGGTATAAAGTGCAAGACCAGCGGTGATTGGTGAGAGATAAGTGACGTGGCAAACAAACTGACATGTTATCTGTAGCAACCTGCAGCAGCATCCTGCATAATGGATACCTGTGAAATGAAACGGTCGTGACCCATTCCGCGAACGGTAACCGGGGCATCGCACTTGGTATCGATGCCATACCGCCAACTTGCTCAATACGCTCTGCGTTCCCCGCTCTCTAGCTTGTAGCTCTTTGCATGTAGGTTCGCTTCGCCGGTGCTGTGTAGCTACGACGGACTCGGAGCGGGGTGTGGCTGCGCACGGATATCATAGGCGACAGGCACTGACTAGGGTACTGCGGCGTGGGAGTTGCTCGGTCCAGGATGTTTGCAGGATTTGGTGAGAGCGTAGCTGTTGCGAGCGATACAGTATGTAAGAAGAAGTTACAAACACTCCGCAAGCCATTGCGTTTGTTACCTCTGGTCTGCTGTAGTCTACAGCAAGCACGAAGAAGAGGTTTAACTCGGGCGCGTATGCATACGTCCACGTGCACGCCCCTCTTGCTGCTCTTCCACTGCGCAATATGTATTCCAGCGCAGCGTGGAATTAAAACTTGCCGCAATATTGCTTCATGTTCCCTATCAACTTGTATTATAGTTGAATGCTGCTCGGGACAAACTCGTGCTGCTCACACCGACCCCGTCTCTCTGTATTTGCGTTGAAATCGGCGTGCCTCAGTCCTTTTGCTGCATTGGGTTGCTCTTTGCTTGTGCTGCAAGCGTATCACACGACGCATATTTAAGCGGCAGCAGGCAACATCAGTCCGGTACAAGTTGCACGCGCATCGTGCAAGTTTTGGCAACCGCCTCTGCCGCTCACTGCCGTTTGGCTGGCTCCTCCCTTTTTCAGATCAGTGTCGGAATGTACAGTACGTCTTGATGCCTGCAACATCGATACCTCAACATGCAAACGTAAGGCATATGCCTACGCTGCGTGGGTCATGACCATATACAATCGAACCTCACTGTGTAGCTTGAAGGAGGATGCAGCAGGACGAGTACTTCGAGCTACACATGAGTTTCGTTTGTGAATAGCCACGACCGTGCAGATATTTGGCAGCGCTCTGTCGGTCGCCGGTTTGGGTCACCCCCCTTGCGTAACACACAACTCTTATTTTGTTTAGCAACAGCAGCAGTTCGGCCAGGCACAAGTTCGAAGCGGAACGAATGCACATGCGTGATGTTTTGGCAAACGTCTCTCCCTTTCTCACCGTTTGGCTGGCTACTTTCATTTTAGAGCAGTGTAGGAGTACGTAAAACATGTCTAGAAAATCGAGACCTTAATAAACAACCGTGAGGCTAACCGTACGCCCCGGTAGGCTAGTTGGTATCCTCGCAACCTTCTAATGGCCAGGGCCACGGGTTCGAATCCCGGCGTAAGCGAGCTTTTCCTTGCAAAGTGAGTTTTTTCTCTCGCTTCCGTTCCTGGTGGGGGAAAGCGCTGCTATGGTTCGTGTGTACACTTTTAGGGAAGAGAGTGCTGCACTCTTATCGCATCGAAGGCAAGGCAAGCACGGCCGGAGGGGTGGAGGGAGAGGAACCCTTCTGTTGTGACCACGGATTGGAGCCAGGTCCTATGCACCCGACAGAAAAGCTATCAGCTGTGAGAGCCACATGATATAATGTGAAAAATAGAAGGCATATGCCTACAGATTTTACGGTTTGAGTGTCCGACCCCTCCGTCGCCTTCCTCACCTTCTTCGTTGATATGGGAGGGGTGGTGACATTCCGCCCCCCAAGCCGGCGCCAAGAAAGCTGCCAGAGAACTTCGCTGGTCATGGGCGTGCACAAACGAATTCACTGCTGTAGCTTTGAAGTAGAGAGCACCATGACGCAGACCTATGTCCCATTCGTACATCGACTGAACGGGACATAGGTATTCGCCCTGCTTCACTTTTCTTCAAAGCTTCAGCGAGTTCGTTTGAGCACGCCGAGTACCAGCGCAGGCTTTCTGGCAGGTTTTTCGCCTCCGCCTTGGGGAGCGGAAAGTCACCGCCCTTTCTGTGTCAACGGAAAATACGCGAGGGGATCATGCGAGGAGGAGGGGTAGAGGGGTCGGGTACTCGTACTGTACGATAGGGCATATGCCTTGCGCTTGAAACCTGAACTCACGTAAACGATGTTACGGGGGTCTGATCGTGCCACCCCAAATCCCAGCTTTGTAAACTACTCATCGGCATCCCCTACGAAACAGGAGGCCGAGAGAGAGAGCGAGAGAGAGAGAGACAGAGAGTCGCACACACAACCCACAGACAGGTAGACAGAGAAAGAGAGAGAGAGAGGAGTATCAAATCCAGTCTGTGAGGTTTGATTAGACCAGTGGCCGAGCTGACTCGTCTGCTGGTTTCATTTCGACTGCGAGCTAGCACAACAGCAGGGGGAGGCCCGCGACTGAGAACGACCTCGTAGCCTTTCCCTCTCTATATTATGCTACTGTCGGGGAAAAAAATAGACACTCTCTTACAGTCGTGGCTCCGATATACAAGAGGTTACCACATGAGAGGGGCCTCCGATATCGGAGGGTCGAGGGCCCTTGTCACACCACCTTCTTGTATCGGAGCCCCGACCGCTGTATCGAGAAAAGCTCCATCCACCCCCTTGTTGCGCGTGCGTGTGGTGTGTGTGTTTTCGTCGTTCGCAGGGAGCTCGCCCGTGACCAGGGGGATCTTGGCGTCCACCCTCGTGGCGTCCGCTGTCCTTCACGCGAGAGACCCGGACGGTACCCTCAACGTCACCCTCGGTGAGTTTGCAATCAAGTTGGCATGCAGACAATACCACCGGAGAGATGGTACTCCCCCCCCCAGACCAAATTTAAAACCTCGATTGCTCCACTACCACGCTCGTGCCAACACCAACGGTTGGATCACATATCGTCGAGGGCTTTCCGAAGAGCTATTGTATCGAGCTCTTTCCACACACCCTTGGTTATGGAAAAATCGAGCTTTGACGAGGGGGAGTGCCATCTCTTAGCCTCTTACGATTATAACAAAGGCAACCGCTTGGGCGGAAGAATAACCAACCAACCCTTGCTCGAGGATACGGGCTGCAAGTGCTGGGAGTGGTCAATCGAATTTCTGCCTTGAAGAAGGCACAGCGGCCGTGGTTTTTCTTGCGGTAGCTATTTTACGTTGTCGAGGAAGCCCAAATATGTGGAGTTGTCTTCGCAAACGAGCGACCCGGCAAGCCCTCTGGTGTTCTGCCGCTTGGTAGATCGGTAGTCCTTGGGGATGCTCAATCGGTGACCTGCTGTGCTCGTTGATGGTGTCTTGGCGGCTGCAAGACGCTATCTTGCTTGCCGAGCGCTATCATCGGTGTAGTAGTAAAATTCCGGCGTCGAGTCGACCAACTGATGTATGCATCTGAGCAATCCTAACCGTTCCTGTACGCATGCGTTTGCGTTCCTGTACACATGCGTTTGCGAAAGACCAATCAAAGGGCATCTCACAATGGGAAATATTTTGTTTAATTTAGGACGCACCCGTGTTTTGCTTGCTTTCCTATGAGCAAGGCAGCCCCTTTCCGAGAAAGCTGTACCTCGTTTTTATCGTCCGTGGTTTCTCGCAGATGTTTGGCGGGTGCTGACCGAGGGTGAGATTTGGCGGCTTCTCTCCTGTCATACTGTGTGCACCAGGTGAGATCCGCGCCTCCCTGTTGGTTGTCGTTGTTGTTTTGTTCTGATGTACTGTTGCTGTTGGGCTTTTGTTTTTGTTGTTGTTGTTGCCGAAACATAGCCCGCAGGCCTGGTGACCGCATGCCCCAAATTTCTTTTATTTTTTCTTCACGCTTGGCGGGAGTGGTTTGCTCCCAAGCTTTCATTTCTAAGCGATCGGCGTGTCTACCTCGCTGCTTGATATCGTCGGTTCCGTGTCACCGGGGGGTTCGCTGCCAGGCCAGCTTGTTGTCCTCCCCCCCTTCGATATTTGGGGTACGCATGCTAGCAGCGGGCCCCCACATTTCGTTAAGTGTTGAATGTCTCAAGTGTTGAATGTCCAGGTTGCCTGTTTTTGCTCTCTGTGTCCACTGTCGTCACTTTTTCTTACAAATCACGACTTCATTTTCCAACACGTCTACGCTTTTGCCTACTGTTGCCCCACCTCAACCGTGTGTCCTAGCATGGGGCCGTTGCTAGCGAGCTCCCTTTCTCTTTACCGCCTCCGTGCGCTGGAACCCTTGCTCGGGTCGAAGAAATTCGGGGCATTCGCGGCAGTAACCTCTGCTCTAGCTCTGCCTTTCGAAGCCACCGCTGGGGTCTACTTCGGGACTGTCAGGTGCAAATCTCGGGACTGTCAGGTTTTGGTTACGACACTTGTCAATTGACGGTCTGGCCGCGAAAATATAGTTGTGTACTTGAGGAGACAGAGGTTCGCATCGGTAGACTATGAGACAAGCTTTTGAGGGCTTGCCACGACAGTGAGAAAAAAGGAGAACGAGCATGGTCGTTTTTTAAGAAGTGGGCCGTGTCTGACGCAGGGGAGAGCTTCTGTGTTGTTTTGCCAGGCGTTTCGTGTAAGTTTTGCGTCGGTCGGCGTGGCGGGGAAAGGGCTCCAAGAACTACCGGTGAGTAGCACAAATGTATCACACACCATGGACTGTAGTGATTGGAGGTCCTCATCTATCTCCACACCAACAAAAGCAGTGGCGTGTTATGGTCCAATAGATGTTCGCGAAGAATGATCTCACGTGCCAGCAGCTTACAACAGTAACGCCTCCTTCCTTTTTCTGGTACCAACACCGCGCGGCGTCGTCGGCAGACTAACCCCCGGGCCCATCCCGCTGGTGTTCGCGTTGTTGGTGGTGTACTACGCCATCGTGCCCCCGTCTAAGCCGCGGTATTTCGGGGTCCTGGGTCTGGACTTCTCGGATAAGGCATTTACGTTTGTGGTGGCGGGGATGGTGAGAAAGAGATAAGAGCAAGAAAGCAGTAGCCCTGGCACGGTTTTTCGTGTATGTCAACATGTAGTATGATCGGGGGAAGTTGGGTTAGGTTTACGGATAGGGTCTGCGTACCCCCTCCCTATTCTATTTCCTTGTAATTTTGTTTTTTTGAAGGGGGTATGAGCAACGTCTATTGGAATCTGGTGGTGCCGGTGTCGAGGAAAGTGTTGAAACGCCGCGGATGAGGCGTTCGCGCTTGCGGTGGCAGGGGTGGCGAGGTATTTATCAACAACAGGGCAACGAACCAAGGTTGTGCGGCGCAAACATATGTAGCGATCACGTTTGCGTCGCCTCGGGTGACGTAATTGCGTTTGCCGAGGCGGAGGAGTTGTGAAATTTCGGCGCTTGAGAACCCAATAGAAGCAGTTTCAGTTTATCCCAGGCGTTCAGGAACCGTAGGAGGGATAGGTCGTATCGATCTCGCTATTGTGTGCAGTTTTACGTCGCTTTGCACTCCTTCCTCCCCCCTCTTGTCGACACCCCTGATACTCAGTGAAGCACCCACCCTAAACGAGACCTTGTTATAGGGTTGCGGGCGTCTAACGTGCAGGCGTTTTCTGGGGTGTGTGTGATGCAAAGGATGGGAGAGAAATGCGATCCCCACCATGGACACCCACCTGTCCAACTCTTGTTTTCTTCGTAGCTGACAGTGCAACCAGACGCGTTCTTTTTCGTCGCCAACCTCTCGAACTATAAACGATACTGTTTGTTCCGTCTCCAAGCTCCGCAGCAAACGGCAGCCTGCTTAGTGTCCGTCTTCTCTCCAAGCGCTACGACCCGAACCTCACATTATCCACACGTTCGTTTGCGTGGCATTTCTCACTGCTGCTGTCTGGTGTTGGAAGTTGGCGTCGTGCGAGGGGTGGGATTCCATCGTCCCCGCCGTCTGCGGGGCGCTGGTGGGCGGGCTCTACCTCATGGATACGATGTCGATCCAGGCGCTGCGCTTTCCCAACGTCGTCCACCGATGCTTCTCTGTGAGTGGCCGTTGGTCAGGCGGCGTGTGGTTTTCCTGTGTGTTGCATCCAACCCACCCGAGTCCCTTAGGTTGCATAAGATTCCACGCCCGCTTATGTTCTAATCGCGATTATTCTGCTGCGATACCACTCAGGGAAGACTTCGAGACATGCCCTCGGAGTTGGCATTCGCTCGAACGAGTGGTCTTGAAGGGATTGCGTGTATGCTTTCTACATACAGTGAAAGCGCTTGTAGGTCCTTGTATATATATACACTCGCAACGATTTTCGTCAAGAGCTTGCCGGAATCGCGTCATTGGATAGCGGCATCCTCTCGGTCGTATAGTGTGCGTGTATTTTCGTCCTATTTATTATGACGGCAGTCCCCCCATTTTTCGTGGTGAGATGTGTACAACAACTTTCAGCGTATGTAGAGTACTACAGGTTTCAGTGTATTTTGTCGGGCTTGGAAAATCGTCCACAAGGGGTGTGGTATGTTACGCAACATACGGTATGTCGGCTTTGAGCTTGAATTGAAGCAAACATGAGCGCCGGGCACAGGTCTCCATGTTCGTAATATGTTGAGTGGGTGGTGCATGATGCAAATGTTCAAGAGGGGGAGTTTCTCGTAGCGGTGGCAACCAAACATGCCGCCACGCGAAGGAGAAGGAGCGGTATCCATTGTTCGAGCGGTTTACCTTTCTTTGCGTAAACTGGTGGGAGGGCGCTGAATGTCCCGCACTTTTAGGTGGTACAGAGGTAGTCGCGGTAAACTGCTGCCCACACGAAGTAACACCTATATTTTTGGTCGATTTATCCTTTCCGCGTTGTCTTATTATTGTCATTGTTTGTCGCGGAGAGAACAGTCTGGTATGGTGCCACCAGCCGCATATCGAAGCATCGACCCTGACGACAATGGACAATATGGCAACGCCACGACCCTCACTGCTGCTATGCCGTTTTTCTTCGTTCCCCTGTGTTCTTTCCTACTATTTTTCGATACGTTTTGTTCCCTCGACCAAAAGAGGTTACCGTTTATGTCAGGTCGAAGAGGAAGCCCCTTCCCAGGCGGTGCTGCCCCCCCGGCCGCGCGCGCCGCACGCAGGCCACCCCGCCCCGCCCAAGCCCTTCTAGGCCCTGCGAGAGGACGCGGCGGCGGCGGCGGCCTTATTTCTTTCTTCACACCGGTTCGACAGGTGCGCGCCGATCCTCCTCCTTGACGAAGTTTTTAAAGCTTTCTCCGGTAGCTTTCTTCGCGCACGGCAGAACCTTCGACCTGCCCGCGTTCATTGGCCCCAGCCAACACGGAGAAAGCTAGATACCTCTTTCTTAAGGGTGTGGGCAGGCCCTTTGCTTGGCCGCTCTATGTTTTCTCGTGTTTTTGTATGTGTTCATACGGACGGGATGTGAACGAGCTGGGAGTGCACATCCGCGCGACGTCTAACGTGCTTGTTCGCGTCTCACGTTGCAAGTCATCATGAAAGCTTTTCATTTCCCAAAATCTTACACAGCAGATATTGCTTTGACTTTGGTACAATAGATCCAAGCAAATGACGTTGCTGTCTTGCTTTGATTGCGTACTCCCGCCCGCCCAAAACAAACAACAGTCAACGTGAAGCGGTCCGTGCTTCGGTAACCAGACGCAAGACGATTTCCATTTTATACAATCCCCACGCTGATTCCCTGCCCCACGTTGCTGCGTTTTTTTTTCTGCAGGGGTCGACAAGGTTGAGAAACGCGTCTTCCTCCCCCCCTCCCCCTCTTCCTCCTCAGCCACCTTCGGAGGAAGCCGTGGCGTCACTCATGGTATGTGTAGGTGGTGCAGAGATACCCAGCTGATTTTTGTAAGTTTCCCCTTTTTTCATTGTCGTAACGCTCTTGACGGAAATGCATAAGTCATGGAGTATATCACTTGGTTTGAAGGCGATGTGTAACGGTCGTGGTTTGGCATCAAAATTTGCGTGAGACCTGACAAGCAGGAATGGGTTGGATTTTGCAACGTACCGGACGAACCCGCCTTCCCGTACCTCGAGAACTCACGTACAGCATGGCATAACAGCAAGCAACGGCACCTCGTCGCTTGGGGATCTCTGTCTTAACCCAGCAACAACGCCGACGTCGATTGCTGACAGGTTTTGCACTCGAAGAAGCATTGCATGCATTTGAGACAGCCACATATCGCCACACGCAAAGGTCGGGTACAGTAGATAAACGTCAAACCGAGCCAAGGTGGCTCGTACCATACCCGCAGCCTGCTGCCCACATCAGGAGTATACTTGATTCAAATGGCACCTGTCGGTGTATGTGGAGCGTCAGCCGCCGGGTTTACACCGGACAAAGACACGCACACAGTTTCTGTTGTAGTTGCAAGGATGAGAGACACTCGCCCCATGCCGTAAGCCTTCGAGTCGCAAAGGAAGATGGAATTTCGCTTGTTCCCGTTCCCGCTGCATGAACAGGGGATGGGATTTGACCGAGCCGCGGTGGTCCAGGCCTTGCAGCAGACGGGGAACGACTCTTACACCGCGGTGAATATATTGGTGTCGAGGGGCGGCGGTCGAGGGTCCGCCCCGGGGTCCAACGACGCGTGGGGGGACGGATCAGGGGCTACGACTTCAGCTTCCCCGGGTAGAGGATCTGCGTATTCGTCGGAGGCGCCGCACGATCATGCTAGCTAAGGGAGATAGGGTCGGTGGTTTTTCCCCAACGCAAAGAATGTGCGTCGCGAAGTTCGGCACGAATGCACCCCCCGACAACCGTTACCGCATTTCCTTTCGCTATGTTGGGGGCGGGGGGGGGGGGGGGGATGCGGGCGAAACGTGGTCACGGAAGGCTACCAAAAAGCGGGAGTGCGAGCTGTGCATCACACGCACTGAGCCAAAGTAGCCAGAGGGGTAATGGGAAGCGAATTGCTGACCGACTGCTGTCGTATGTATACATTATTCTTGGTTCCGCGTTGTTGGGCAGCTACAGTAAAGCGCAGCCCAAATAGTGGCAGCTCTGAGGTACACTACTCTGTGCTTGCTTCGTTGTCGCTGACGAGCGAGATTGTTTTGTCTTTTTTTGACGACGGTCACAAGCCTCCGTACGATTTGTTCGGATACGGGGCGGTTGAAGGTACACGTTTGATCCAAGGAGCGACTGATGTTCCGTGTGTGTGAGAACATGGCCAACCGCTTTTAATCTTTTCGGTTTTATGCTTCTCTGCTTGTCAACGTCGCCGAACGTGTATGTGCATTTCGATGCTGTACATAGTTTTTGAAGAAATCAAGAATTGGCATTTTTGAAGTGAAGTACACCCACCGGAGGCTGGATACTGATCGTAGGTTTCCCAATTTTGTACAATACAAAACCGCAAACAGCCTGTCGTGTGTTGTACCAACTGGGGCTTCAGCGGCATCATTACAGCGAACGCCGTATCATTCCCCCAAGTGCAGCGCGAAGCTTGTCGAAATCATCGACGAAGCCATTCTCTCGTAGGAGATCTACGTTGAATTCGATTTACGCGGTTCCATCGATCTCGCAGTCGTTGACATCTGCGTAGAAATCTCCCTCCCGAGCCTTCCGCCTTGACGCTGTCAAGTCATGCCACCTCCTCCGGCTTCCGAGAGTCTCGTCGCACTCGCATCTACACCGCTTGACGCGGCGCGAGCTGGCGTCTCTTTGCGTGGTACTGACTTTCCTCGCCGAGGTCCGGAACTACTGCTGACCTCCGCCGTCTATTGGGCGTCACTACAGTACGACTTGGTGGCTCGCTCGTACTTGCGCACCCCAACTTTATCACCCACGTGTGGGTCGTGGACACCGAGATCGGAAGGGTTCTCTGGTACGAATGGAGTCTGGACAGATCCCCAGCTTCGTGGGCGCCTAACGGAGGTCGGTTGATGTACTTGCAGGCATCCTTGACGGTGAAGGTGCGGTTGCGTTCTTGCCAACGCCAGAAACTGATCCCTCAGACCCTCCTCAAACATGATCCAGTCCGGCTCGCGAGCATCCCATCAGTCCAGCCTGAACCCACCTTGCTTCCGAAAGTCTCTGAGCCACCTCAGGCCCGTCCATGCCGGCTTGTCGGTGCATAGCACCTTCGCCGCGATCCGCAGGACCGAAGCGTCGCGTCGAACAAGGGAAGCCTCGTTCAGCAGCTCGAACCGTTTGGCATCGGCTTCCTTCACCTCGGCCTCCGTCGGATGCTCCCAGTCCGACAGCACCTTCTTCGCCTCGTGTGCGAGCTCCAGCTGCTTGGCGTCCCGCTTCTGCTCCTCTTTCAGCACCAACGGTACGTATGCTCGATGGCACAATCTGAGCTGCTGTTCATCGGACAGCTCTTCTTTCCGCTCGTCCCCCTCGGCCTCGGCCCGCGTGCCAGCGTCCGCGCCCTCGCCGAGAGAGGGGGGAAGGGGGACTAGAAGGCTGGCGAGTTGTTGAGTCGCGAAGGCGGTGTCGAGACGCCTGATATGTTGCGCAGTGGCGTTGAGGTTCGTCGTCAGGTCGTTGATCCGGGTACCGAGGTAGGCACCACGTTTGTCGAAATGCCTTTCGGAATTTCTTCTCTCTCCTGCTCAAACCCCGTTATATCGAGGGCTTTTCGCGGCTGGTGGCCATCTGCTGCGTCGCAAACTGTGCGCGGGTCGCGTCTGAGCCGGCCCGCCGTTGTCGCTTGAACTGTCGTTCCTGCACGGCGCTGAGAACCCCAAGGCTGTTGATTGATTTTCCTGGTCAAACATAGTGGTTGGAACAGTTTGAAGCACGCGGCAGATGGGTGTAGGATAGTGTTGGTCTGTACAGATTGCGCGCGCACTGAAGAACCTGTACGTTTGGCCGGGGATCGGGTAGTTGTGGCCGTTATTGTAAGTGTGTATGGGTTGTTGTACGGGCCCACAAATGGTGCTGGTGTGTTGATGTGATGTTGAGTATGGACTTCCTAGCTACCAAGTTCCTAGGTGCGGGCGCTAGCTGTACAGCAGCACTACACGTAGACAGTAGAAACAAATTGTAGATTCGCAGTAGTACATTTATGCGAGCGCAGAACAGTACCTAGTACTGTTTGCCGATGTGTGGCGACGATGGCGCGTTTTCATGCGGGTACTTCCTCGGCAAGCTATGCTTGTTTGTGTGTACCGGAAGGTATATTCAGACGGAGGTAGCACGTCATTGCAGCAGAAAACACCAGAGCATACAGACAAGACCTACGCAGCCGCTAAAGACGCGCGAATACGATTGCAAATATTCACGTGGAATCACGTCGATCGACTGACTTACACTTGTGAGTTTGACGAAAGGTGCAGGTAGGTATGTGCGTGGACAGCAATGGATGTGTGCAAAGAGAAAAGCAATGTATAACTTGTAGACCACCAGTGAGCTCAACTCTACTGCATGCTGGCACAGCAGTAGTCGTAGGCGTGCCATACAACAGATCAGGAAGTGTAAATGCCAGATCACCACTTGTAATGAGTCGCGGAGCCGGAAGCGCGACGTTTTTTCCCTTCATCCCAGGACGGGAAAAAAGGCTCTAAATATCGGCCTATTCCAACACGATCCAGGGCCTCAAGTTTGATTACCGGGAAGCCAAGAGAACCCATATTTTCGACCCAACTAAGAGCTATAGCGCACCGATTGACGATCTGTTGCCTTCTGAGGAAGAAGAAAAATAGGGCAATCTCCGTCACACCGGTTTCGTCGTGCCCCAGCAACAGATGGCCGTACTACAGAGGCATTTGTGCCCAAAAATCGTACGAGATACCTCACCCCATCCATCCATCCCAGGATTTGCTCCAGGAAAGGGGGGAACACAAAAGCGGAGACTCATGCCCGCGCGATTGAAACCAGGAGAAGAAACAGAGGTACCACTGACAAGTCTCGCACATCCACAGAATCGCACCCACCCGCCGTGGTCCAATCCCTCCCATAGGTGAAAGCACAGCAGCAACAGCAGACCTGGTGCCCGCTCTCTGACTAAACAACAGGGAGTCTTCTTGATTGACGATGAGTTCCATTTTTGCCGTTGGAAAAATCGATGGGTGAAAACATGATGGATTGAGGAGAGTTTTTCCGACCCCAGCAACAACAGCAGCGGAGAGCGAAGTTGAGGCGTTTGGTGCTGTTGGCGCAGTCGCCACATGGGACTCTGAACGATACGAGGATGGCGTCTTTTGCCGGACAACAATAGGGCGGGGGATAAGGGAACCAAACAAACGACGCCGCCTCCATCAGCAAGCGAAACATGAGACTGAGATGTGGACAAACGGTCCGTGCGAGAGAACGAGCTGGTTCTGTTGGAGCTGTGCTCCAGCCACTTTCCACACCGCGCTGCCCGATGGGCTCTATCGAGTGTTTTCGTGTCTGCCACCATTGTTCGTCTTTTTTGTGGGCGGCAGTGCGTTAGGTGCAGATCGTTTGGCGGTACTGCTGTACCAAGGTCGGTCGTGTGTGTCACGGCGTGAGTGTCTGTGTGTTCCTCCGCCGCTCGTTGGTGTAGCATTTGACACCAGGTGGGAGCGGATGCACAGCAGTCTTGGAAGATCAGCTCAAACGATCCGGATACGCATCTATGAAGTTCGGAAGCCTGCAGATGAGCCCCGCGGTTCATTACTCCTCCCCATCTACGTAGTACGGAGTACGCAAATACCAAGCCGGATGCAGACCAGTGTGATCGAATGGGCAAGGAAGCTCGGCATCCGATATACGCCAGTGACTGCTGTAGAAATATATTCACCTCGGCTGGAGTGTGCTGAGAGAGCTGCCTACAGACCAGAATACGCTGCTAACCATCCAGTGCGAAACCTCTAAGCAACAACAACAAAAGGTAGCGGTAACAGGAAGCAGCAGCAGCAAGGCGCTGCTTGATTGAGTTTGATGCGTGTGCATTGTGCATGTTTCCAAGAGGCCGTTGAAATTCAAATTTCTGGCTGCAGACCTCACGACCTACACCTCACACAAACTGACGCATCCACCTCTGTTGCCACCCATTCCCTTAAATAACATTCACGACTAAATGCAGCCCGTGCGCTGCGTGCAGAATAGGTACAGCAGTAGTAGCGCCTTTCGGTTGGATCCTGCGTCCCCAGAAAAAGAGAAAAGACCCTCAATTTTCAATTTTCATGGACGCGGTCATGATCTTCACGACTTGCCTGCTGAAAGCGTAGTGTCCGCCGCAGCAGATACTGAGCTTGGGAGATATTTATTGCTAGGGTTGAAGGGGTGACCACGGTGGCTGAACTTCCAGCTAACCCTGAAGGCTTCACTGCCCGCAAGCGCTTCCTCCTGCGAGTCGCACGTGGGCCCGTACTTCCTCTTTGTTTGGCTTCTCTCCCTTCCGGGATGTGAAGTTGAGCCTAAGCCGCCACTTGCCTTTACCCTTGTCAAGATAGCACGAGGGGGCAGATGTCTTCTTCCACTCGTAGCCTGTAGCTGCTGCATCTGGGCTCGACGCCATGCTGTCCGCTTCTGTGTGCCAGTGGGTGCTGTGTGCTGTGGTGTCCACCGTGCAGCGGTTGTGGACTTGTGCACGAAAGTTTTTTTTCCGCCGCAAAAATACAAAAAAAAGCGTGATTATTTATTGGGAGGAACAAGAAGGAAAATAAAAGAAACATCGCGTGTTGCGTGGTTATGTTGAAAAGGGCAATAATTCAATAATTCACGGTTGCACCCCTGCTGCCCGTCGCCGGTCCAGAAACATTACAAAGGGATGTTGACAAACAAGAGCGAAATCGCTTACACACTACACAGGCGATATTGGAGAACCGGAGGACCGGGGTTATAGGCTATTTTTTCTGGAACCACGACCGAATATTTATTTGACGGTTTCCTTTCTAGAAGAAAAAGAGGCGTGTCTTAAACGTCCCCTGCCCACCCGGTTTTGGCGTTGCCTCTCGGTGGCTCGCCACACGCACAGCGAGACCTGCCGAGGCGTTCTTCTTTCTTTCTCATCCTCGGCCTGCTTCACCTCGCGTGGCGTTCTTGTCAACCCGGGGAGAGACAGCCTACCTTTCTTTGGGGATCTTCGCCGCCGCCCCTTTCTTGGTCGGCGCTGCGGCTGTCCAAGCGTTAGAAAAGCACCGACCCCGATAAAACAGTTCTCGCCACCACCGAAAGACCTTGTGCCTGCTGTCGGCGAAGCGAGCAGCGAGAGCCATGCCGTGGATCTGTGGGGAACCGGAGTGCAAGAAGCAGCCCTACTACGCGGAGCCCGGGCAGAAGAAGCCCAAGTATTGCTTCCTCCACAAGAAGCCCGGCCACATCGACGTCCGCAACAAAAGGTAAGCGTGGTATATCCCTCCCTCCCAGGCCAGCGGTTCTCCTGCTTTGTGCCTTCCCTTCTGGGGGAGTATCTACTTCAGCGAGAGAGCCGCTGCTCCCGCTGGAAGTATAGTTACGAGAACTGAAAAATATTCAAAACCTTTCGCCAACAACATGCTCTCTCCTGGCCGTTGCCTAATTCAGAGAGAAACCGCCCTTGTTGGAGCCCTTCATTACTGTCGCCCCTGCTCCGCCCACACGCTCTTTTTTCTGCTGCTGCTGCTGCTGCTGCTGCTCGCACGCACGGCAATTTTTCGGGCTCTTGCTCCGTCCCTCGTTTGGCGTGTGTCCTATTTTACATATATTCACAGGTGCGAGGTGCCCAACTGCGAGATTCGGCCTCACTACGGTTACGATGGAGAGGCGCCTCGGTTTTGCGCGCAGCACCGTGCGGAGGGCATGCACAACCTCCGCAGCCGCCGTTGCCAGGTGTGCGTGTGTTACTGATACTGCTGTGGCAGGGTTTGAAATTTGTTGTACATAGCTTTCTGGTCTCATGCTGCTGCCCTCTTTGTTGTCATAGAAAAGTGCGTGCGTTGAAGTGTACCAGCGTTTTTTTTGTCCGGTGGAAGACCAAACCCAAGGCGGCGTGTTTGTGTGACCAAGTCACAAGTACAATTCAGTACATGCGCTTGATACAGACTCAATATATAAGCCAAGTAGTCCTTGGCATGATCCGTACACTATTCGAGCACAACTTTAACCAGTAATCTACTGCGTTGTCAAAGACGGAGAACCGGCTGAAACAACTGCTGTCCATCTAAATAGGTCGTACGAAAAAATACGTTATTCCTCCATCGTCACATGTCCCTGACCTACAGCAGTAGATGCGCTCTCCATGATACGCATATGTTCCTCGGAACAACTCTCCCTGTCCCTGACCTTGATGGTTCAGTGACCAAGGTAACGCTAGGGCCTTATGTTGTGGGGAGAGTATTGATGGTCATAAAAGAGCAGTAGGAGCCGCCTCTGTGGACAATTTCATGCACCATCTCAAACTCAAGGATCGACCTACCGTGAATGACACAAGATAACACACCCCCTGGACCGATGTTCAAATATCGATTTTTCTTGTCAACAGCAGAAAGAGTCACTGCGCCGAAAACGGTGGCGGTGAAGCTGGCTCGTCGAGAGCTTTCCGAACATGCATTGATTCATTTATACATCCTCTTCGTCGTGGCGTAATCGATTTTTAAGAATGGGTCCAGGGGGTGTGTTATCTTGTGTCTATACGGTACTCAGCTAGGAGTTTGTCAACGATATCGTCAAATCCCACAATGTCGGGAAATGATTGAATCGTATAGTGCAGCTATACTGTCCCAAAATTCTAGAGCTTTTGATCCTCCACATCGAAAATCGAAGTCTATGTCCGCTGTTTCTTGTTCGTCCACCGCTACGAGCAGGTAGGAACCTAGCAATTTTGTGATTGCTTCATTGAACGTCGAGTGCGCATACCACGCATTATTGAATGTGATGAGTTTTGTCATGCTACTTTCTTTAGCCAGAGACTATGTGTTCGTCGATACCTCGAGCACCTCGCATCATTGGATGCGCAAGAGCATTGGATAACTGCCTACAAGACAAGTGCCTCGATAGTCGATACGTCTGTTGCTAAAGTTGATCAACGTAGCATATTTGAGAAAAAATAATATTTCTGTCTGAGTTTTATTTACCTTGAGAGTTTGTTGAGTCTTCTCATCCACGGGAGACGATTTGTCTCTATTTTACACATTATTATAAGCGGAATTATCCATATTTTTGGTGTACGAATGCTCCTATTGGCAACTGCATTTATTTGTGTGGATTATGTGTTGCCTATAGGGAAGGGCGGTGTTTCCGGCTATGGTGGAAGAAAAAATAATGAAATGACTTTTACAATATCTCTGCAAATATGTGTCCTCATCGCCACATGTCAAGACTTCTACCTAGATGTAGAAATACATGGAGATGATCAATGTGTACCATGTCTATCTTTGATCAAATCAAAGTATAACATGGACATGTCAACCTGTCACTGGCTTATTCCACGTTCATCATCATCACATTTTGTCCTCATCCCGCCCTTGTGCAGTCAATGTCCTGTACACTCAATGTCGGCGCACTGAACTTTGTCAAGCAACCATGTTGTCCATGTATTCATGCTGTGCCTATTATTTGAATGCCATCATGTTTACTGCTGTGTTTGTCAGATACCAGTTGTTGGTGCGCATCAAAATATTTTGTCTGGCCACGATTCTATCTCACCTCCTCGGTATTTGAAAAACAATCTTGTCAGGATTTCGCATGAAAAATGGTCATATTTGGTCATGATTTCGCGCGATCATATCTGTCACATGTACTGTGGTTACAAGCCCTACAGGCCGATGTCAACGGTAACCAAGGTATATGCTGCAATCAATATGCATTGTATCTCCACTTAATTTGTTTTTCAATCCTGACACTTGTCATTTTGGATGAAAACCAAACTAAATGTTGTCACCTAATCGGTCCCATTGGTACATGGTCACATTTACGCTGAAGAGTAAATGTCCTGTCCTTGTCGTTCACTGTGTTACATATACGTTACAAGTAAATATCATGTCCTTATCATGTCCTTTGTCCATACATACTAGAAACTTGGGATATGTTTGTCAAAACTACAATTCAATTTAGTTTTTGTGCGTGTTTCAGTTAAACCCAAGTTTACGTACTTGTTAGTTTTTGGTGGAGTGCGAGCTCTATCACCACTGTAAACTGGGGGGGTGATGCGGGACTTGTGTCTCCTGAACCAACACGCCTCCTTTCATGTCTGTCTGTAACGTCCATACGTCAATCGGAGAATCCCTCCGACTGGACGCACCCACGTCATTGTCATCAGCGTTTACGATCCACACTGAGGTTGTCACCAGTCCTTGTTTCGCCGACGTCTTTTCGACTGGAACGGCCTCACGTAACCTGCATACTATCGGTTATACTCTCAAGCGAGGTAACACAGTGGCCGGATACCATAACACTGCCTTCAACCGTCTATTATTATAGTCGACATTTTTCTATGCCACATCTCTCGACGTCGAAACAATCCGCCCGACGCCGCAACGGACCCACCGTAATAATGGAATGCCCTTGTTGCGAAGGACTTGTAATCGTTGGCAACGTGCGAGGATTTGAGGAAACTACAATAGGCCAATTCCTGCGCCGCAGGAGGGACTTCACAAGTAATTGCAGAGGCGTGCGCGACATCGGCTGCCTGTGTACAGCGTTTTGGAGGAGCTTGTGGCCGATTAGGGATTGGACTTGACCTAGTTTCCTCAAATCCTCGCACGTTGCCGACGATAACAAGTCCTTCGCAACAAGGGCATTCCCTTGTTACGGTGGGTCCGTTGCGGCGTCGGGCGGATTGTTTTGACGTCGAGAGATGTGGCATAGAAAGTTGTCGACTACAGTAGACGGTTGAAGGCAGTATTATCGTATCCAGCCACTCACTGTGTTGACTCGTTTGAAATGGGCAAGAGTAGAACCGGTAGTATGCAGGTTACGTGGGTCGTGACAAGGGCGGAGCCCGAAAGGGAAGTGCTTTTTGCCAGCCTAGAGAGGGCCCAGTTTTGATTGAAACTGGGAACTCAATATTTGCCAAGTATCCAGTCGGCTTTTCTTCCTTGCACTCACCGTTAAGACTTCAACGCATCCCCTACCCATCCCCTTCGACTTCCTGTGGTTTTCTCGTGAACGGGTATATACTTTCTATACAACAGCCAAGTGCTTTTCGTGCGCTCGTCCCTCCTCTCTCCCTCGACGTTTCCCGGTTCTTATGTACGCGAAACAGAGAACGCCAGATAGAGTATTTCTTATCATGTTCCGTCATGCTTGGCGGGAGGACACAGTAGACGGTATGCATGTGGATGCCGTATCCTTATTAGCACTTTGTTGCCTTGCATGCGAAGGCAAGCACCGCAGGAGGGGTGGGTAGGGGGAGGAACCCTTCTGTGTGACCCCCGATTAGAGCTCCTGACCCGGCAGAAATGGACCACCTACGCAGGATTTTAACAGCATCTAGAAAAATAATAGGGAGGGGGCACGCAGACCCTATCCCTATCCCTATCCCTAACCCTAACCCTAACGCATGGGTTGAATACTGTATCCCATATGTTTGCTTAGTCAATTTTGCTGCGCAGACTACTGGGATGGCAGAAATGCTGTGATCGCTGATACAAAGTGATGAAAAAAGAGAAAAGAAAGTGCGATGGAGTGACTCTGTCTTTTTCTTTTTCGCGCCTGCTGCTCGAGCTTGTGACTGAGATGAAGACCCTACCCCATGCTCGCGCTCTTTATAAGTGAGCCGTGTGGGCGTGTTCAAGGCAGCAGGGCGCTCTCCTGCACAATGCCAAACTGGGTCATGTCGGCAATATCGCAGCTCCCTCGCCCGCTTTGGCACCCCGTTTTTTTTTGTTTTTTACCACCCGATCGGTTGCCGCCGGCCCCTCCGCCACCGGGGGCCTATCAACGGCAGCAGAGTGCTTTTGTTTATTTTACTCAGAAGTCAAAGCGCACCCACGTCAACACCTGGGATATTTGAACTACGGGGCTGCGATTGAAAGCGATCCTGGTTTGATTTGTCCAACCGACGTTTCCTTCTCTTGTGTGTGTGTGTTTTTTTTTTTCAGAGCGAGGGCTGCGTGAGGTACGCCTCCTGCGGGCACGCTGGAAACCCGCCCGTGTTCTGCGGCGCGCACAAAACCATCGGCATGGTCAACCTAATCGGACGCCGCTGCGCTGTTGATTCGTGCGAGGTATGTACATACCCATACGGTACCATGATGTTGATATCTTCTCTCGGGTGTTGCTCTTTTTGTTGTGGTTCGTAGTAGATAATTATCGGGCCGTTGTGTGCCGGCGAACAGCACGAACGGCGTAGATGACAGCGCCGACGCGTAGTGTACCGCTCTCGCTCTCTGTGTGGTGAAGCGTAATGCCTTCGGTTCGGGGGTGGGTGCTCGCCGAGACTCTTCCCTCTCTCCCCGATATACACCGGAAAGCTGGCCGCAAGAGAGATATTCGAAACCTCCGTTTTTTTTTTGTTTCGCTGCTGCTGGCTGTCCTGAACCCCTTCATAGTATTTTCCCAGCGGTTGAGACCCCGCCTGGCGCTTCAAAAGGGAAAGGTGTCGACTGACCCCCAGATTAGACGGGACGGATAAAAATGTCGTTTAACGACAAAAATATGAGACGGCAAAACACAACATTTCCTTGACAACAAATAGTGTCCCCCCCCACCCGATTTTTTTGGGTCGTTAGACGCAAGAACAAAATACATCGATAAGAACTAATGAATATTCCCTCCCCATCTTTTTTTATTGTCGTTAGACGTACGCGAGCTACGGCGTCACCGGAGAGAAGGCGAGATACTGCGCAAAGCACAAGGGCAACAACATGGTGAACCTCACCGTGAAGCACTGCGAGTTCTCCGGCTGCGTAACCCAGCCCAGCTTCAACTACGCGGGTCAGAGGAAGGCCAGGTAACGGCACGAGTGTGGGTGCCGTTCATTTGATCGGCATCGACCGCGGTAGCCGGCGATTGGTTGATGAGCAGGCGTCGGCCTTGTAGAAGCGGGGCGACAGCGGTTCGGGCGAACACGTGTCGTAGAAAGGAGACGTTTGTGTGCACGGCTGCATTACCTTGGTTAGTGTCAGAGGCGCTGTTCGGCTGGCCAATGAGAGGACGTGAGTCACACAGCGGGACATGCGACGTGAACACGCTTACTTGTGAGGGGGGGGGGGGGGTTGAACAGCAGGGTCCAGTCTCCAGATTTAGATTCAGAGTGTTTGCAAAAGGAAAACAATAAACGCCGTTACGCAACAGCCTTGTGTTTTGCGTTTGTCGTGGAAAAGTGTTCCACTTCGAGTATTTCAGTAGCCATGATATTTTACTCGTGTCATGAGCGCGTAGGCGTGTTGCCTTCCCGACCCTGTTGTACTTCGAGCCTAGCATGGGTCGTGTTTCTTCATGGGTATCTTGCGTGCGCCCTCGCCAAAAGGAACCTGTATTATCGCGCGCTGTGTATGCCCCCCCCCCCCCCGCCCCCTCTACCCGTCTCTCCAAACCCGTGTTTTCCTTACCCCCATTAATGGCCACCCCTTTTCCCTTCCTTTCCACCGCAATATCCACAAACCCACTAAATTCCCGCCAGGTTCTGCGCGAGGCATCGCCTGGAGCACATGGTGGACGTGCTCGACCGCCACTGCGCTCAGCACGGGTGCGACCGCCAGCCCATCTACGGCCAGGCCGGGGAGAAGGAGGGCCGCCCGATGTGGTGCCCAGACCACCGCCCGCCGGGAAGCTTCGACGTCAAGACCTCCCGCTGCCAGGAGCCCTCATGCCTCAAGCACCCCAGGCACGACACTCGGCTCGACAAGAGCCTATCGGCAGAATATTTTGGCGAGAGAGCGACGGTTGCGAGGGCAACAAACAGTATTGCAGTCTCAACGTAGCAACAGGTATTCTTATGTCAACCAGTGTCCCCGCCCCCCCCCCCTCCCTCGGAAAACGCCTTTTTGCAGCTACGGTTATGACAGGGACCGCATCCGCAGGCGTTGCCGGCTCCACAAGCTGGACGACATGGTGGACGTCAAGAGCCCTCGCTGCGAGATGGCCGGCTGCCGGAAGCAACCCTGCTGCGGCTTCCCGGGACTTAAGCCGCGCTTCTGCTCGGAGCACAAGCAAGACGGCATGCTCAACCTCAAGGTACCGTACACACGTTGCATGAATACCACCCCCGATTTTCAAAGCGCGAATGCTCCGCGACGGAGAGGATTTAAAAATCAAACTACGTTTTCGGAAAACTCTCGACGAGGTGTTCCAATGTCACCATGTTCGGCGCCGTCGCTGTTTGTAATCGGTCTTGTAAACAAGGGTCCCGGGGGTGTGATATCTTTTACAACCTCAAGGTATCTGGCTAGGCGGTCGGGGTCCGCCGCACCTTGTAGTGGACTCTATACGTTTTGGTACACTCCTCACCTTTTCTTGTGTAATTCCATGCCCCCCCCCCGACAGAGTCAAGCTGCCTGCTTGATTTCGATTCCCCCGTTGCTACATGTGCAAACGCACACGGAACGGCGTTCATACCTCATCTATTTCCACCTCCCCACCCCCCCCCAACGACTCGCCGCATACCTCACGGCGCTTCGCGCTTGGTGATGTGAGAGCTTGGTCCGGTCAGAACCCGGCGTGCTCCGTCCCGGCTTTGTAGGGATGCGACGTCAATGGGCTAACCAATACGGCATACACGACTATGAGTACACCCCCCCCACCACCCCCAACGCACGCATGCCCTACCGCCGTCCCCTCCGCGTGGAAAACTCCACAACACCAGACTCGCGCCTTTAGGTGCAAGTACAGGGGCGTCGCGGGGCTCGGCATCGCGGACGACCCGATGATGCCTCTTCCCGCGGGCAAGACCCAGCCGTGCAACCGGGCGTGCCGTTACGCCTACCCGGGGGAGGAGGCGGTGTACTGCCAGAAGCACAAGCTTAACGGCATGGTGGACGTCATCAACCCTTCCTGCAAGGTGTGTGCGTGTGTGTGTGTCGCTCAGGCTGCTGTCCTTTCTCTTTCTGCTCTGCTGCTTTGGTTGTGTTTGTCGCGTGGGGAGGGGTAACGACTGGGGTTTGTCAGTAGCGGTCTTTCGAGGGTGGGGTTTGCTAGCCTCGCGTTGGTGCCAGTTAGGGCGTTCGTGCGGCTAACTATGTGTGAGCCCTTTTCTTTCATCCCTTCCCTTTCCTCACTCTCACTCTCACTCACTACCTGTCTCATTTCTCTGTCTCCCACTCTCTGTCCCTCCCACCCTCTTTCTCTCTATCGTCCCTCTCTCTCTTTATCTTCCCTCTCTCTCTCTGTCTTCCCTCTCTCTAAGATGCAAGAATGTCCGGAAGTGCCTACCCACGGCTACGACGGCGAAGCCGCGACTTTCTGCCAGGCGCACATGGCTGTGGGGATGAAGGTGAGCTTGCTTCAAACCTCATGGCTCGCGGACTCAAAACGTTTTTGTTATGAACATGCGTTCTCAGGTAAACTCCACCCGCTTGTCCCCTGAGCATACCAACAATCATCAACGCGCGGTCGTCTCCCGATACACTACCTGCAGTGTTGGTCCCTCAGTATCTCGTGTCGGTGTGTGCCCGCCCACAACACCGGCTCTATACGGGGTGAGTGGCACTAGTAACAACACAGACCGACGCCGTACCTCGGCAGTTTAACAACACGGCCTCTACGGCACGACTTTTTGGTTGTTCGGTGATTTCCGTCTATACCCGCCGAAAACACTGGCATGACAGTACCGGGTACCGGCACTATAAGGGACTACAACGACTGTTTGTGTACTACGTGCTGCTGCTGCTTGTGCTGCTGTTATTTGCGTGTAGAAGAAGATGCAGCAGACGTACTTGTCAACCGGGACTACCGTTGTTTGAATCAACTCTAAGCGCCCCCTCTCCCACCCCCTCGCGATCGTAGTCTGCGCGTCGCCCCCGCCCCCTCCTTCCCGAGTGTTGTCAGTTCAATCAGCCATCTCGCCGAGTCTTTGGTCACAAAAAAAATCAAACATAAACCCCTCCTGCTCGTTCTTCAAGACGGGTTATAGCTCAGCCTCACGCCGCGCTACTCTTGGTTCTTCCTCTTTGTGTTTTACAGCCAATCGCGGCGCAAAAGCCGACGGGGTTACATTGGAGCGCCGAGCTGCGGCGGCAGGCCACCGCCAACGCCCGCGAGCGCAATAAGATGGAGGCGGAGATGGAGGCTGGGTCTGCTCGGTGCACCCCGCTTCCGCCCAAGGTAAGACGGGGGTGCCGCTTTCTCCGGCGGTGTTGCCCACTCCATAACAAAACTGTAGTGATGTAAATCACCTGCGCAGCAGCGTAGTTCCCTTGGCGCCATGTTTGAGTTCTTCTCTCAGACTCATGATGACGCCAGCTGTGTTGTATTCTTTGCTTTAGTTGGTCTGTCGAGCCGCGAAGACCCAGCAGCGTAGTCGCTTTGCTCATAATGTTTCTGAGTGCTGCTCCCCCCCCCCCCCCCCCCCTCCCCCCCCC